GCCTGCCGGTCATGTCCAGGCTGCCTTTGCTCAGGGGATGGGCGGCCAGCTCCTGGCCGTGAAGGAATTTGCCATCGCTAAATCAGAAAAATCAAACAGAAAAAAAAAAAAAAAACCAAACCTCCTGACAAACCAAACCACAAAACTCAAACAACAACGACAAAATAAAAGCAAGAAGGGAGGTGGGATATTTTAAAACTTTTTTTTTTCCCTCTCTATTTTTTTGTTTTTTTTTTTTTTTTTAAGGGTGCTCGGGGCGGGGGACGAGTGGGATGCTCAGGCTGTCTGAGATGCTGTGCCGGGCTGAGATGCTCCGGTGCGCTCGCCCCTGCCCCTGTGCCTGTGTGTGATTCTCGTACCCAGACAATGCTCTGCAAAGCGAGCTGGTCCTGCGGAGAAATGCAAACACCTCCTCCCCCGAGTGCCTGAGCAAAGGGAAAGCGATACGGAACCAATAGCTTCTCCTTGGCTGCTCTCATTAATATGGAGGAGAAAAAGAAACCAATGAGGAGGAGCGGGAGGAGGGATTTATTCAAATCAAATTTCCCGAATCGAACACCCTTTCTCCCTCTTTTTTTTTCCTTTCCTTTTCCCATGTACCCCAAATCTGCCTTCTCCCTGTCGCCTAACCCGTATTTGTTGTCCCAGAAATTTTTATTTCTTATTTCATTTCCGTGACAGGGTCAGCAGCACACGGCGATGGGAGGGAGATGGCATCGCTGCTGGGAGCGAGCCGGGGCTGTGCGAGGGAGGATGAAAGGAGCCAATTTCCCCCGGACCTGCAGGGTTGATTGCAAAGAGAAGCGATAAAGTAGCTGGAGTTGTCAGGGTGGGGAACTGAGGGGGAGCAGAGCAGGAATTTCAGCTGGAAACACCATTTTGCAGACGATGTGTGCAGATGGGAAGGTGGCCTGTGTCCAGGCTGAGCCCTCTGAGCTTGGAGAGAGGATTCTCTCATCTTCCAATCTTCCACAGGAGATGCACACCTAGAGAGGGAAATGTCTGCACAGAACAACAGCATCTGCACTGTCCTGCAGTGCCATCGATACACAGAACCCCTGGAACAGCCATGCAGGAGTGGCACCAGGTGCTGGAAAATGACTGGAGAGGAGCTGTGGGGAGGGTTGGAGAGAGGGGAAGGGATGTCCAGTGTCAAGCTGAGTCAGGAGAAATACAGGTTGGATATCAGGAAAAAGTTTTTCACAGAGAGAGTGATAAAGTTCTGGAATGGCTGCCCGGGGAGGTGGTGCAGTCCCCATCCCTGGGTGTGTTTAACAAAGCCTGGATGTGGCACTGGGTGCCAGGGTTGAGTTGAGCTGTTGTGGCTGGGCTGGACTCGATGGTCTTGAGGTTCTCTTCCAACCTGGTCATTCTGGGAATTCTGTGGATTCTGTGGTTCCATGTCCAGTACCTGCATCAGAGCATGCAGGCACTGCTCCCTGCTGCACAGTGCTCGAGGGCAGGCTCCCCAGAGCTGGAAAATGAGCACTAAAGGAGCCTGAGCAGCCAAAGCAGGCCCAGAGGAGACCTCTGCCATGATGTCCCACAGAGACACTTGGCCTCACGCCGATTTTGCTGCTCTCAGGCCCCACAGATCTGTGTCAAGAATTTGAGGTGCTGAATGCCCCCATTCTTACCCAAATTCTCAGAGATGTGCTGGAAGAGCAGCTGCCTGCTAATGAGGTTCTTCTAATTACCCTGAAATTCCATGACACCTGTATGCCTAGGCCCTTTCTGCTGTGGAAGCCCTTTTGTCTGATTATCTTTTCATAGGATCACAGAATCATTAAAGTTGGAAGAGACCTCAAAATCATTGATGCCAGCTTCTGACCAAACACCCCCTTGTCAACTAAACAGCACTAAGTGCCACAATCTGTCATTCCTTGGACACCTCCAGGGAAGGAGATTCCAGAACTTCTCTGGGCAGCCCCTTCCAGTGCTTGACCACTCTTTCAGTGCAGAAATTCTTTCTGATGTCCAGCCTGAACCTCCCCTGGCACATCCTGAGGCCTTTTCCTCATGTCCAGGGGCTTGTTGCCAGGGAGAAGAGACCAATCTCCACCTGGCTTCAGCCTTCTTTTGTTGAGTTGTTGAGAGTGATAAGTTTTCTCCTGAGCCTCCTTTTGTCCAGGTTTTTACCCTTTCCCCTTAATTTTCTGCATCTCCCATCCTCTATTTCCCATGGCATGTAAATTAATTTCAATTCCTCCTTCCCTTCACCCTTGAGAGAAATGGATTTGTAAAGAATTTTTAAAATTTGGCATAGAGTTCACACAGCCTTGTACATCTGTATGTAAACACTGGGATAAGGTGTGTTGACTTAAGAAGACTATGGAATAGAGATTACATTATTGAGAGAGAGATTGAACTGGAAATAAGTTTCAACAAGTTTCAAAATTGACTTTGTGAAAAGACCAGATATTTTAGAGAATTAGAACTGTGAAAGAAGCATTGTAGCAGGGCTATGTGGAGAAAAAATATAAGTAATTTGTGTTAGAAGTAATAATAAGTTTTGTGTAGCAAAAGCTGAGAGGCTGAAAAACATTGATAAGGTGTTGTAACCAAGAAATAAGTCAGCTTCTGATAGAGTGGTGTTGAGATTTACACTTCCTGTGTCTCACTATTTTATTCTTGTGTCTCACATTTTATTCTATTATCAGTCTCATCGTGACTGATAATAGAATAAAATCTTTTAAAATGCCTCTCAGTTATCCCACCTCTGTAAAACCGAAGAAAACCAATACACCCTACTTCCTTTAAAGAAAGGAGAGGGGGAAAAAAGGCAATTTTTTTTATCAAATGAACTAACTCCATGACGTGTGCAGCATGAAAAGCCCTGTCCCAGTTGCTGCAGGGTCTCTGTGGCTCTGGGCCCACGTGCAGGAGCCCGGGGGGCACAGCCCCAGAGCAGAGCAGCCCAGCCAGCCCTGCTGCAGTGCCTTGGCACAGCCACAGCCCCACGGCTGCACAGATGCCTCCTCTGGAGAAAACCTTGTACAGACACGCTGTGAGTGCACTCCACTCTGGTTTTGTTCCAGCACCATGGAGCAGGCTGAAGAATCAACTGGAACTTGCAAAGCTTTGCTTTGTAGATTTTCCTGCAGGTCTGCTGTCTTCTCTAGTCACATCTCACAACGAAAATAAATTAAATATTATGGAATAACAGAATTACTTATGTTGGAAAGGAGTTTAGAAATCATTCAGTTCCAACCTCCTGCCATGGGCAGGGACACCTTCCACTATCCCAGGCTGCTCCAAGCCCCATTCAGCCTGGCCTTGGACACTTCCAGGGATTCAGGGGCAGCCACAGCTGCTCTGGGCACCCTGGGCCAGGGCCTCACCATCCCCATAAAAAATTTCTTCCCAATATCCCCTCTAATCCTGTCCTCTTTCAGTTTAAAGCCATTCCTTCTGTCCTGTCACTCCAGTTGTTTTCCTAAGTCCCTCTCCAGCTCTCCTGGAGCCCTTTCAGGCCCTGCAAGGGGGCTCTGAGCTCTCCCTGGATCCATCTCTTCTCCAGGTGAACATTCCCAGCTCTCCCAGCCTGGCTCCAGAGCAGAGGGGCTCCAGCCCTTAGATCAAATCTGTGTTCCAAATTTGACCTCTCTCTAACAGGTCCATGCCCTCCTTATGTTGGAGATCCCAGAGCTGGATCCAGCACTGCAGGTGGGGATTCTCCAGAGCAGAGTGGAGGGGCAGAATCCCCTCCCTTGACTTGCTGCCCACCCTTCTTTTGATGCAGCCAGGGCACGATTGACTTTCTGGGCTGGGAGTGCTCAGTGCTGGGTCCTGTCCAGACTCTCACCACTTCTCAGGGCTGCTTTCAATCCATTCCCTGCCCAACATTTTGTTTTTATGGTTGAGATTGCCCCAACCCAGGTGCAGCACCCTGCACTTGGCCTTGTTGCCCTCCACGAGGTTTGTACAGTCCCACCTCTCCAGCCTGTCCTTTGGAACCTTCTCTGCTCTCCTAAATGTCCACCACACCACCACCTCACTGTCCTTGGCCCAATTCCTGAGGATGCACTCTATAATGATGAGGGCATTAGATGATGTAGGACAGGAAAAACTTCACAGCAAAATGTTTGTTCTTACCACAAAAACTCATCTGCGTTCACTCTGCAGGCTTAAGGAAGCTCTTCCCCCGCTCCAAAAAACCCACAAGAAAGCAAAAACAAAGCCCTCTCAGTGTTCTCTCAAAACTTCCAGAATTTATGGCAGTCCTACCTCAAAAGCCCCGCAGTGAGATGCTGCCTTAGCTTGCTAAGCAGGGAAGAAGACTCCCAGGTGTTCAATTATTGTGTGCTGATCCAACATCTGCTCCCTATCTTTCCCAGGAGAAGGGCAGTGGGCCAAGAGAATCATCCAGTGGCCCATATCCAGCAGCAGTTGGACTGCCTAAGATGATCTCAGCTGATTTTAGTATCAGGTTTCCTACTGAAGTAGTGAGGAGAGGCTGTCCAAGAACTTTGTTCCCCAAAGAAGTCCATTTTTATGAGTAGAAAACAATTAAGCCACTCGCAAGTGGTGTTTTATAGTTATCCTCCCGAGCAGTCAGTTAAATAGGTTTTTATTATTTAAGTATGTGTAAAGCACAGTAACCATTTATGGCTGCTGTGAGGCACTGAAGGGGGCAGGAGGAGGCTTCCTGAGGGCAAAGTGTGAGTTCCTACTGATGACCTTGACATCCATCCATCATCCATCCATCCATCCATCATCCATCCATCCATCCATCCATCCATCCATCCATCCATCCATCTATCCCCCATCCATCATCTATCCCTTATCCATTCATCCATCCATCCATCCATCCATCCATCCATCCATCCATCCATCCATCCATTCATCCATCCTCCTCCTCAGTTAAGCTGGTTGCAGGAATATTTGCTGAGACTGGGTTAAAGATATTTTATTTATTATTTGAGGTTCTTGC